TGCTGCCGAGTAGACCCCACGCTTCATGAGCCTGAGGTGTGCTGATCAGGCGGGTTTTCTTGACACAGCGATTGTGTTAGGTGTCACGTACAAATCTACAGCCTTCATCTTTTCGTTAACCATGTAACGAGCAGCTTGCTTTAGACGTGGATCTTTTTCACACCCTCCTCGTTTTTGTCCCTCGGAGGTAACCATTAAAAACATCTGACAGACAAGCAGTTAGCCAGTTCCCTGCTGAGATTAGTAAAATATTTAGTAGTCCTACAACATCAAGGAACTTCAGCCCTGCAGGAAACAGTTTGATTCACTTTTCTTGGAGGTAGGGCATAGGGAATTTAAATTTTCATTTGGCTGGCCCCTTATATTTTCAAATGGGCATGAAAAAATTCACATACCTAGCTTTTTATATAAATTGTTCTAAGGCTTATGGTATTTTTATTTCTTAAATTATATGAATAGTTGAAGAATTTGTGTCTTTCCCTTCAGGAAAAAGAAATTTCTAGACTGGCAAAATCAGTATCAGAATGCACCATTATAGTGTCTCATGTGGGTTTATGTGATTGCAAATCAAACTAGGAAAGTTATTTTAAAATAAAAATTATTGTAGATTTGCAAATTTCAAAGGAAGCCACATTGTTTAATTTACATATATTGAAATTTCTGACCCATCTTTTAGTAGAATAATTTTTGTAAGTCCATGAGAAAGAAACAAAATGTCAATTTACAGTAGTTTATGGTGTTATAAATCCAGAACAAGTGCTACAACATTGTAAAAATCCAGATCAGTTGCCTACATATTAGAGTGCGAAAGATAGCAAAATGATATGATTTATAAACAGTAAATCTTAAAGTAAACATAGAAGATGACTTTCATAACCTAAAATTATCTTTATTCATTTTTCTTTAATCAAAATCAGGGTCTTATGACATTGTATATTCGAATTTTTAGGGCCACGTTTGTAGGAAAATAATGCTGTGTTGTAGCGGAAATATTTTGCCCATCAATCCTGAAGAGTTTTGCATTACAGAACGTAATGGAATTTTATTACCCTAATTATTTCAGCCTAGAGTTCTAAGATTCCTGGCTTCTGCTGGTGCTTTGAATCATAGGAAGCGTTTTTAGATTTAGAAGGATGAGTTTCAAAATGTCATTCACACATTATGTATTTTTTTAATTCACTATTTTTTGAACTCTAATGTTTTTATGGCCAAGAAAAAAATGAAGAACTGAAAAGAGCCACATCAAACTTGTTTTTATGAGTGATTGATTATGTGAAGTGTGACTCTTAAGGCCTTTTATCTGCATGTTATTACTTTTTGTTTAATTTGAAACTGTGTCCTCAAGCAGTAATTCCCTGTATTTTTCACCTATTTTTGTCTGGTTTATTGGCAGTCTCCATGCAGTGGGGGTATAAACATGTAGTGATTGCACATTTCTCCAGTCACCACTTTCCTCTGTGCTCTGTCAAATCTCCCTTTCATGTTCCTTTATGATATCTTTGGCAAATCCCATAGTTTTCTGGTTACCTTTAGTTTTTAAAAAACTAGTCCAGGTCACTATAAAACTCCAAGCTCGTGTCCTCCCATTACAAGCCAGTCGTTTTGGCTCAAGACACTGGGAGGAGGGGGTGTACATTGATTTCTTTCTCTCTCCCTCTCCAGCACGGTTGAATATTTGTAGTTGGTGGGGTAGGAGCTGGATCTGCTTCCGAGACGTCTTCCTCCACACTCTACCTCTGTTTCATGGCCTTACTCCTCTGATGGGGAAGGCTTGGAGGGGGACTAGAGTAGGGGAAGGTGCCACCCTTAGCCTGGTTTCATCCACTGCTGGTTTTCATGTAGATAATGTTCTGGTTTTCTTGAGGCAGTGTTTAGTTTCTCCCACCCCCCTCTGTCCTTGAGGGGCAGCCATGGAGCCTTTGAGCTTTACCAGTGGTCCATGCCCCTGACCCCCTCTGTTGGTAGATGTCACTTTGGTTGGCCTGAGTAGCCTCTTGGTTTCTGCTGAGATTCTCTTTCATTCCCTCCAAGGGCCATGGAGATCTGGGGTGAGCATGTCTTTCTTCATCCTTTTTTGTTTTCAGGTACACTGTGTGCCTAGGGCTCCTTCAGCAAGTTCTTAGATATCTCCAGACTCGGTCTCTGTATTTTCATATGCTTCCAAACTGCTATGGACATACATCAGATTCAGTCAAGATTTCTTTTCAAAAAAGGCCTGCAAGTTCAATTCTCAGCAAGCCTCCTGTCAGGGGACTAAATGTTAGTCTCCCTTTCACGTAGGTACTCCCCCTCTCTATCAGCTATTTTCTTAGAGCTGCCCCACTCACTGGAAATACTGTGTTCCTCATGAGGCTGACAGTCAAGATGGTTCCCTCCCATTCGCCTCCCCTTCCTAATTCCTCTGTGTGTTCTTTATGGCTGCACCAGTTCCACTGACTCTTACTAAGGGGGTGGGGCAAGGGAATACGGCCCAGCCCTAAATGTTGGCAGCTCTTTAGAGCTCCTTTTCCTGTTGGCTTGGGTCCTGGTGTCGATTCTGGAGCAATAGGAGAAAGCCCTCTGGGATTAGATTCTTTTGTGAGTGATACAAAGCCCAGTGACTTAAACAAAATAGATGTTTATTCTTCTCTCATGTAAAGATTCATATGCTAGCAGTCTAGGGCTAGTGCAATGGCCTGTTCCATGAAGTCTTCAGGATCCCAGGTTCCCTCCAGCCCCCCACTCTACCATCTCTAAGTTTCAGCCCTTGTCCTCATGGTCAAAGATGGTAATGTCCACATTCCAAGCAGTAGGGTGACAAAATGGGTGAAGAAGAAGAGCAAAAGGCACACACCTGAAATCTTTTTCAAAAGTTTCTGGGAAGCCACCATGGAATTCTTTGATTTACATTCTACTCAGTCATATGGCTAGTCATAGCTACAACAGAGCCTGGGAAATATGATCTTTATTCTGCGCATCCAAGTGCCCAGCTAAGAGTCACCATGGAAGAACACTGGAGGACAGTTAGCAATCTCTGTCACGTTCACTGGATGCTGTGGCATTTTCTTTAGGGGAGCTATGGGCAAACTTGTAACTTTACATCTATCTTTTATACGTGAGTTATTTATGTACACTAATATCGAATGTTTGCAGGATGCATAGTATTTTATAGGGTATTACAGACTCACTGAATTATTTACAGTTAGGAGAAAAATTAAACCTTTCAGTAATAGTATCCAAGCCACTGATAGAATAAAGTTTGAAGCTTATTTTTTTGATTGGAATTGTCTTGTGCTATTTCTGTCCTTTCTAATTTTCATTTCTCTAGAAGAAAGAATAGAACTGCAATAAGTTGGCTGACATATAAGCATGTTCACCATCAATTTGGATGTTTAGCAGAGTGTCATGTCCCTTATATAGACTTTCAATTGATGTCAAAGGGTGATTATATTTTATTTTAAAAAGCATATTTTATAATAGCACTATATCAGACATAATATTTTAACTGTGCCATAAATGGCTGTGAACTGTAGCTATTATGGTGTCACTGTTTATTGGCTGTTGCATAAACCTGTTATGTGGTTTCATTTTCCCTCATCATATTTAGCTGATGCGTAGTAAACACATTCATATTCTTGAACTCCTAGACACTGAGTGACTGTTTAATTTGCTCAGGAGGCGTAGTATATTGAGTTAGAACTGTTGTCACATCTTTTTCCCCAAAGCTAACTTGGAAAAAATATTTTTGTAATAAAATCTTTGAAGTACTTTGGAAATGAGGCTTTCTGTATTCACTTGATTTGAACTCTAAACTACTTTTTATAGATTCCAGGAAATTTGTCTACCTTCAGGGAAGCTGATAGCCAATCTTAACAACATACTGGTTTAAAGAAGTTGAATTATTAAACCATTAGACTAGAATTCATATTGTTGTCATTTTCAGTCGGATCTGAATTATTCATGACAAAATACATGTGGACCATAATCTGTAATAAAGTCATGTGGATATTATGCAACAGTTAGAAATAAACCTCAGACTAATATGTGTTTTAATTTTCTTCCTCACAAATTCAAGATTTTCACCTAAGCTTTTACCTTAAATTTGTACACATTTAACAAATTGAACAAGTTATGGCTAATGAAATCAATTTTCCCTATAATATAATTGGTAGGGATCACATTCTATAGGCATATTTTCATTAATTTACCACAAAAGCAATGCTATTTTACTTTATTAGCTTATAATTAAAATAAACACTCCTTGAAAGAACTTTTTTGAAAGTAGATAAATGGGAAGATGGAAATTTTCCCAATGGAAAGATGGACTTACACATCTCCCTACCCCCTATACCCTACCTCTGATATGGAGTGTCTTACATGAGGTTTTAATAATGGTTCATTGTATTTAAAAGAAAAATAATATAGTAACTTTATTTTGATCTGCACATTACAAATCATTTCAGTTTAATTCAATTTGATTATGTCAAAATTTCAAGCATAACATGATGTAGTGATATGTATATTTAACAGTGGTTTTATAGGGACTATAATGTAGAAATAGAAGAGTGTCACTACTGATTTAGTGGTAATCACACACACACATAAAGTCAAAGATAAGAGAAAATTCAGGTTGACAAAGTTCCATTAGAAAAAAAAAAAAAAGAATCAAATGAACTTTGACTTAGCTTACCCTTGAGTCCTTTGCGCGTTATGCATTATGAAAAGCTGGACCATAAAGATAAGTGTAGCATTTAGTTGTGAATTTTTCTGCTGGCTATAATAATGTAAAGCATTTTGTAAAGCATTTCCTAAACGCTTTTAAAACTTCAAAAGTACTTAAAATGGAATTAATAGATTTTCCATAAATATTGGAAGGTCCCAATAAGATTTTAAATATTTGAAGTGTGTTCTTCATAAATTATTAGAATTCTTCTTGAAATCTAGACCCTTTGAAAAGGACCTGTGGCATCTAGCTCCCTCTTACAAGTGGTGTTCAGCAGATTGCGTGTGTTCTGTTATAGGTTCACTACTGTGATAGACAAAGTGGCAAAGAGTGTGTGACCTGTCTGACATTAGCCCCTGTGCAGATGACTTTCCATGCTATTGGAAGCTCCATTGAAGCCAGCCATGACCAGGTATAATACGCCACTACCATTTTGCTGCGTTATGGCCAAACTAAGAAATCAGAGACCATCAAAATGGAAGCTATGTGCACACAGACAGCTTTGCTTTCCCTAATACATTATCCTCTAGTGCCATTTGCTAGACTTTTGAAAAATCAAAAATTTTTGTCTTGGGAAACTGATATCTTAGGAGATTTAACTTATTTTAGAGTCCTAGTTTTCAGTTCATTATTTATTTAAACATAGAATTCTTTTATAAAGAAGAAATAATTGCCCTACAAGTTATTTTTATTTTTAATAATTAAAAATGGGAAGAAAGGTCAGCAAAACAACGTAGATAATCCTGGACTCTCACTGGACTCATTTAGTTCTGTAAGATAGTTTAGTGTTATAGAATGTATGCAAAATAACTGAACTTTTGGAACCATCAGCTTGCTCCCATAACTTGGGATATTATCAAAATGAAGTTCCAGTGTTATTTTTACTTTTAGGGCTTTGTTTCTGAAAGAAAGCTAAAAATCTGAAAAGTATATTGTTTCTTAACAAATTCCTTTGATTGTTTAGATAGCAGCTTGAAAATACATCCTGTTTATAAGATAATAAATATTTTCAATTAAAATAATCATCAGATTAGACTAAACTAATGACCTAGGACACAGAATTTCTAGTTTGGAGTCAAGATAAATAGACATACACAGTTTACTGTATGACTAACCAGCTCTGCTTTCTAAATTAACCGTTCACATACAGAACAATCATAACTCATTTTCATGTTCATTTCCAGTAAATTTGAGGACTGCTAATAGTCTTGTCTGACTAATCTTTTTTTCCCTTCCATCTGCGAAGTACCCTTGCATGGAGAGAATAACAGAACATAATAGCATATCTTCTCAAACACATGGTTTATTGTCCAGCTCAAACAAAACCTAGGAAAACATTCTTAAGGGCACACCTCTCCAGTTCATGACATCTCTGACACTGTGGGTTTCCAGTCATCATTCACTGATCGGTGATGAGGTGTTGTGGGTTCAGGAAAGAGCAACTCATTGGTCAGAAAATCTGAACTTTATGAACTAACCATGGCATAAGTTAGCTGCAGTTACCTGGATGGATTCTGTCATCTCTTTGGGACTCTGTTTCCTGGAATGTTAATGAGGGAGCTGGGTTAGGTGACCTACAAGATTCATTCCAGTGCTGCCATTTAATGATCCTGTGACTGATCTTCCTGCTCCTGGTTGAATGAGCCCAACCAATAATAAACAGTTAATAGCGTGTTGATCCAGAAAGCAGCTTAGAGATCACTCCAGTTTGCAATGATGCATGCCCAGCTGCAGAAGAGGGTGCAGCAGAAATCTGAGGGACATGCCTAAATGAGCTTATAGAAAGTATTATCCCTCTATGAACTATAACTTAACTGTATGCTAGGTGCTAAGGATACATGGTAAGAAGGTCAGACATGGTTCTTGCTCACATGGAACTTACAGTCTAGCAACTTCACCCCTTTGAATATTTGCCAAGAAGTCTAGCTACCGATATATCTATCTCTATATCCGTTCATGGCAGAAACAAATGGCACAAGCAGCATGAGGTAACCATCCTGCAAAGGCTGAACCTCAGACACCCACACACCTGAGAAGAGCAGCCCGCTGTTAGCAGAGGTAATACGTTGCTATAAAAGAGCACTGGGCTGGGAGTGGAGACTGGGGTCAAACCCAGATTTGCCGTGAAGTAGCTGTGGGGCCTTGTCTCTTCGCCTCTTGGAACTCGGCTTCTTTATGAATAAAATAATGAAGCTGCTTCAGGCTTGTGCCAAGTCTATGTCCCAAGGTACCCAAAGTCCAGGGCTGCTGTTGGCCCATATGGCACCTTTACAAATTAGAAAAAATAAAAGGCGCCTCTTTTTCAAGGCATTTTATTGCTATCCAACAGAAAATTGTTGTAATAGACAAATCCACAGTAACTACAGTGTGAATGGAGCCCCCACTCAAGTTTGCATTGCTCAACCTACACAGCTGTACATAGTGGTCTTATATTACTTCTGTATGGAATGTCAATGGTAAGTAAATAAAGACATTTTTATATGAAAGCAAATATAACTGCGTTATAGATGACAAATTTGCATGAAATTTTAAGATTAAAAACAAAACTTTCAGGAAATATGTTGATAATGGTCAAATGGATGGATGGATGAATGAATGAGTGGAGCTATGAATGAAATGATCATCTTGGTGGCCTCAGAGGTGCAAAGTAGGGGTAGTGGTGTCATCAGTGCTCCTCACTTATACTTGGATAATTGCGCTTCCGAGGAAAGGAGACAGAGTAAACCTCTACTCTGTATCTGGCTTTTCTACTTTGTTGCCATTACCCTTTCCTCATACTGAGGGTCTGTTTAAGCAAAAGGCACTCCTTCACTATACTAAAAGCATAAACTTGATCTCATAAGTTGGAAAAGATGGACCACTAAATGCTTTTTCACCCATTAATCTGTAAATACTAGAAAGCAGGAAAACATTTTAAAGTAAGAAAAGTTATCACTTGAAAAATATTTTCTAGAGCCGGCCCTGATGGGCTTGTGGTTAAAGTTCGGCACGCTCTACTTCGGCGGCCCAGGTTCGGTTCCTGGGCGCAGAACCACACCACTGGTCTGTCAGTAGCCATGCTGTGGCAGCAGCTCACATGGGAGAACTAGAAGGACCTACAACTAGAATATACAACTATGTACTGGGGCTTTGGAGAGGGAAAAAGAAAAAAGGGAGGAAGCTTGGCAACAGATGTTAGCTCAGGGTGAATCTTTCCCAGCAAAAAAAAAATGTTTTCTATTATTAATGTAACCGAGCCAGCACAGTTGAACAAATGGAATAAGTATTCTGAGAAAAAAGTATGTGTAGAATTTAGAGGTGATCCTTCTTATGAAACTCGGGTTGTCCTTCTCTGTGTAGAAAATGAAGGTGAGAAATGGAGGAGCTCTCTAACCTTGAACTTGACAGCTTATCTTACTTTTTTAAATTTGGCTCTAGGAACTCAGTGAAGTAGAGACAGAATGTGTTATCCAGTGTGCTTGCTCACTGAATTAAGAGTAACAGGACGGGGACTGTTAAGTGAAATTTCTCTATCAAAGGTCAATACAGATATGCAAAATGGGGGTCAGGGGAGAGATTCTTTATCATGTTTATGCTGATGATGTCCACATGTATGGAACTCTTAAGTCTCCACCTCCCGCTACCAACCCGCCTCCACCCATGTCTTTTCCTTTTATCCCTCCCATTAAATGACATCACCATCTACCTTGTTGCTCAAGCCAAGCATCTTGGAGCATCCTTGCCTCGTCTCTCCTCCTCACATGCTGCATCCTGTCCCAGCATCTCTTCCTGTAAATTGCATCTCTGATCTGGTCACTTTTCACCACCTCCAGTGTTATCATTCTAGCTTACGTCACTATCATTTTTAACCCAGACGACTGTAGTGGTCTCTAAACTGGCTTCCTTTTTTCTACTTTTGTTCCACTATGGTCTATCTTCCACACAGTAGCCAAAATTATTTTTAAGTTAATCATATCACGTTACTCAGCTGCTCAAAACCTTCCTGTGGCTTCCCATCAGAACTACTATAAATCCAAAATTTTTGTTATGGCGTACAAGTCTTATGTGAGTTGGCCCCCTCCACCTCTCCGTTTTCAGTTCCTACCACTCTCCTTTTCACTCACCGTGTCCCAGTCTCACTGGCCTTGTTGCCAGTTCCATCAAATAGATGAAAGAAACCAGACTCAAAAGGCTGCATACTGTAGATTCAATTTGTGTGACATTGTGGAAAAGGCAAAACTATAGGGATAGAAAACAGATCAGTGGTTTCCAGGGGCTGGGGAGGGATTGGCCATAAATTTTCATGAGGGAATGTTTTGGGGTGATGAAATGTGCTATATTTTGATTGTGGTGGTTGAAACACAACTGTATGCATTTATCAAATGCACAAAACTGTATACTTTTTAGGTATATTTTACTGAATGTAGATTATATCTCAATAAACCTAACAAAAAAAAAGCCAGATTCATTCTTTTATCAGTTACTCATGTGATATTGATCCCAAGGACATGGGGAAGGATGACATCCCCTTTCCTGTCCTGTATTCTCTGCGTGTGTTGGACTCACCTTGGAAATGCAGTAAATTTAACTAATGGCCTGGTTTAGAGCTTCTCTGAATGCCAGTGGTTAGTTAAGCCTGCTTCAGACCTCCTAGAATAATTATTAGTCTCCAAAAAGTGACTTAAGCCTACCCCTGTCTGACTTCAGGGACAGGGTCTCTAGGCCAGTGTTTTCCACTTGGGATAATTCTCTGAATTCTCATCTAGCAGTGGTTGATGTTGGCCTGGTTGGCTGCTGTTGGCCTGGAGGTCCTCATGGTGTCTGGGTGAGAATGCTCTACATGTGTTTGCCTTATTCATCGCAACAGATATGTTATAAATTCACATTAGTTTAGAATGTTTAATTGTCCAGAATAAATCATGGTTTAAATTTCCAGATACTGACTTTTTGAGCAAACATTTGTTAACTGAACAACTGTGTGGGAATACTGCACTAGATACTATAGCATACTAGGTAACTAACTTAACGGTCCTCATGATAAGCTAAATAACTAACTTCTTATAGTCCTTGCTAAGCCAGTCATGTGAAATTTAAAATTTGTAGATTGTGTGGTGGTTTCAATGAAGACCCATCATCCTTACTCATAAGTTGAGTAAATAGCACATTTATTTGTTAAGATTGAGCTAGTGAGGGTTTTGCTCAATATTTTTCAATAGATCCTATTTGAAAATTAAGTTTATATTTGTTAGTGTATGTTATTAAATCAGAATCCTTAGTAATAGCGCAGAAAGGTTTTTGGAATCTTCTAGCTTGGTATACCTCACCAAATACTATTCTTTACTCTCTCTTTCTGGCCTGATACCCTTTCTACATCTTTCTTCATCACTCTTACTGAGTACCTCTTCCTCTCTGTCTCTCTTAATTACATCGGTC